TGCTTGTTCCTCCCTGACCTCCTGCATTATCTCTTCCCATATCTCTTCATCTGTAAAGATAACACAAATATAAAGCATATTCAACAGCAAAAGAATTAATGGAATTTTAAAATACAATTACTTTTAGAGAGGAAAAATAATAATTGTATGAATAAAAACCATTGACAAAATAAACTTCAAATCATAGTCAACTCTTGTGCTCATGCAGCAAAAATGATAATGTCTAATTTTGAAAGTTTATTGATCAAGTTCATTGATCTAAAATATAACATTATGATAAAGTAATTGACTTTTAAATGCCACTCATAAGCTAGATCATCATTACAGTAACTAGCTATGAAAATGAATGAAGAATCTTCCTGTATAACCCAGGATAATTCAAATTCAATTTTACCAAAAAACAACTTTCTTGATTGCTGGCTTAAGGGTGACAGTAACATCCACTTTCCCAGGCGTCTCTGTAATGTAATTGCTGATATCAATACAGCCAGTGGCCAGAAGCTGGTGGTGACCACTGTGGGGCACCTAATGATTTCAAAGAAGCAAGAGGAAGATGAACAGTGTTCAGATTTACTCCAAACTGTGTGAAGTGAATATAATATCAAAGGCAAAGAGCATCTGCATGCTCATGTAAAAAATGAAAAGGGAAAAGGTTACATTACAGATGAAAATTTTCCACTGCTTTTCTTGATATTCTGTCATTTCATCTTCCGGGTTCTATGAACACAATAAATATTGTTTCAAAATAGAGAAAAAAATTTGATAACAGTAATATTAGGGACCTTGAACAAACCATAAGAGCAACAAAAATGAAGATGTAGCTAAACAAAAGATCAAATGAGCAGAACAATAGCTAAGCACTAGTGTTTAGAACTTTGTTTGTGATGAAGCTGTCTTGGGCCAAACAACAAGGAATCAAATTTGGCATGGTCTGCATACAGGAACACTGACAGAAAATTATTTCAGTCTCAATATGGAACTCAATGCCACTCACATTCATTTTTCAGTCAATGTCTTCCTTTGGCATCACTGTTCTGAATGCTTAAAGTTTATTTTTTTTTCTACACAGAATTTTCTAACCTCAAAAAAGCCTTGTTGTGAAATAAAGTTCATGTGATGGTATGTTGCAACAAAACGTTAAATAGAATCAGGATTCTTTCATATTCTTTTTTTTTTCTTTTCCAGTGGTTCTGCTTTTAACTCTTACAATGAAAATTATAATAGCTTTAGCATTAAGACTCAATATGACATTACATAGTGAATCCAATGCAAGAGGCAAAGCGATAAAACTTTGCAGCTTTGAAACTCTCAACAACAAAAGATGGAAGACTTCAGTAAGTGGGTGTAGCATGTTTACAATACCTAAGGTTTCAACAAGGTTGGCCATGATTTCCACACTGCCCCATACTTTATTATGAATAGATATCTTGGATAAAGAAAACAATCACAAAAGCAAGTCTTTTAGACCACAATTTGTGAATGTTGTCTGAATGCTGTGGTACTTTAGGGAAATCTGTTCCAAGTTTTTATTTCATTTTACCTTTGCTTAAACTTACCCTAAGGAGAGTAAGTTTGGTATCCACTGGATCAGGCTCAAGCCAAAAATGAACACCACGATAACCATTTTCAATACCTCCAAACCATACTACTGGCTGAAAGCAAAAGTAATCGAAAGAAATATTTCTTTAACTCAAACTCAGAAATCGATAACATATAATGAGCTAAGAGAGAAAGAATAGCGATCTCAAGTCTAAATTGACTACCCTTCTACTGTATTTCACCTTTCTTTTTTTCCAAAAAACTGCAAGCTTGTGGGGATACCTAATTGTGGAACAAAACACGAATGTCAGCATAATGTGAAAAAGTTGCCATAGTTAACCATACTTCTGTTCAGTGCAGATTATTTCCTTGTAGAAGCGATTGACGTTTTACGATTCAAGAGACGAGATACACTTACATCCTTTGTTGACTAAAGTCAAAAGAGTACATCGTATGTTCAAGGCGGCCACCATGTCATCTTCCTGCCAAGACCGGTAACTAGTAAAAAAATGACCCCTCCCTCCCCCTCGCTATCAACTATTGACTGTTTAAAGCTTTAAGCTTACCTAACTTTCTTGAGCTGAGGAACAGTAGACTCAATTCTGTCCAGTGTAAATGTCTGAAAGAAATTGACACAGGAGCTACATCATTCTATAGAACTACCACTTAACAGAGATTGCATCAAAAATTTTGCTCATTATCACATTGCCTATTGAAAACAAGGTAGGCAGGCATAAGGTAAAGTCTGTTCTCAAGCCAAGTGATCTTGATGATCCAGCTAGTATTTACTACTCCCCAGGCATTTGGTCAGCTTTCCCTGACCGTTCGCTAGCATGATTTTCTACTCTATTGAAGAGAGACATGATGGGAGTAAAGTGTCTTCAGCCCATAAAACACAACACATTGACTTTGCCAGGTCTCCAACGAGAACCTCAACTCAAGAGTCCACCACATCAACTGTTTATAGTCGAGGCCTCCACAATAAAAACAAAACATTGACAAACTGCTACATAGACATCATTACTATTACAACAATGTAATTACTGTAGGTTTATACCTTTTTTTCTTTATCAACCACCAAAAAAAATTCCTTCGTACAACTTCTTTTGGAACCACGATAAACAGTGTTACCAGAATCCTATAAAATAATGTAAGAATATCAATATAAAAAAAGACCTTGAGTAAGATGACACAGATAAGTAATTCAAATAAACTTGTCAATAATGTTTCAACAGTTTTAAAAAATTGAACTTAGTATAACAAAAATCTACAGGTATTATTAACCATAAACTTCCAAAGGTCTTCAGACTCTTGTCCGATTTAAATGTTTTTTTTTTCACTTTTGAAGCATGGCTATATCTTTTTTTTAACTTAAAACATACATGGCCATTTAAAATCAAGAAAATCAAACAAAAAAAATAATGCACTATTTTTAATAAGAATAAAAAATATTTCACAGTTAGAGCTAGCTTGTTATTCAACTTTTTCCTTCAGAGTTTGTACTTACGAAATCAAAGAGGTTGTTGGTTACCCTGTTACTCCTATTTTCTTAGTGAAAAATACAACTTTTCCAGGGATATTACTTTTGAAAGATGGCTACTAAAGGGATTTGACAGCAGCCAATAAGTTTTAAGCACTTAGATGAATTCATATAGTACCTGTACATTAGGAACAGTGACTGTGACCTCATTTTTGTCACCTACAACAAGCTCTGCCGGTCTCGAGGTGTCTACTGAGGCTGGTTTGAAGTCATCTGTGGTAAAATGTCAAATGCATAACTGAACCACAAATGAATAAATTAGGTTATACATAACTTATTGATAAAAAGTTTGAAATGGATAAAAAGGCCAAAATTCATGATTTTCAGCAAGGAAGACATGATCATTCACTATTTGATACAATATTTTCGGTTTATTGAGCTTATTGTTGAACTACAGCTGTACCGAGGGTTTTAAAGAATTTTTCGACGCACTATTACTCCACAGAATATTTAGGGAATAAAGACAAAAAAATTACTTCGAAATAGGAAAGTGTAAATGAATATGTTAACGGAAAAAATCATTGAATTCAGCTGTTCGTTCACAACTTGAAAATGTAGTCAATTGCCAATGCGCATGAGAAAAAAAGGTTTTGTTTCACGAAAAAGAATGGAAAGTGACAAATAAGTGAGCTCA